GGTCAACCCTGGGCCGCCCTCCACATATTTTAATGGCGTAACCGTAGCGGAAACTTGAGCAATGGAGACTTTGGAGCTGTGACTCTTGAGCTGTGCGTGTACCTTCGGAGCTGTGCCATTCTCTTTGGAATTCAAGTAGTTGTGAGAACTGTTGGAACCTATTGTTGGGCAACAGGCCCCTGAATCGCGTGGATGCCTTGTGGATACCTCAAGGAGTATGGCACTGGTCAATTGCTAGGCTACAGTAATAGGTGGGACTAAAGTCCCTGATCTGGTGGGGAACCGTTCTGGAAATGATAAATTTGTGTTTTTTGGTGCATGACCTGCCTTTGGGTGCTTTCCAGTGTTGATCTTGTGCTCCCTTCAAGAAGACCATTTGGGGGTGGCTGCTGAAGGAAACTCCCACTATAAGGAGGATCTACGTGGGCAAAAGACACATGCCAATCAATCCTTGCTAAACAAAGACCTGCCGAAGCACGCCCCTTGCGGACATCAGTTGGGTCCCTAGATCCAAACGGACAGGTCGACCAGGCCTTAAGGGTGGGCCCTATACCGCGCCCCCGTGATCCACTCACTGGATGGGACAAACAAGTGAAGCCAACGACTCTGCGACTCCTCGTCGTTTCCAGGGTCCAAGTGGAATCTGACTATGCTTGGTGCCTCCATAGATCTCATATGTCCCCTGCATATGCCCACAGCGCATTGTCTTCTGTATGTTGGTCCCCCGCTCTTGCGGTGGCAAGACAGAACACAAACTGCAAGTCCAAGGATCAAGATGAGGCAGACATTCACTCCCGCTGACACACAGAAGGTCCACGACATGATCCTGTTGATCTGCAGGAAGATCGGAGAGTCGGGCAGACATACCCGCGAGAAATCATCCACATATTGGCAGTCGCCGTCCGTATGATGGGAATGGTCCATGCATCACCGGCTGGAAGAGGACCAGTCGGCGGATGTCAAGTTCGCACCGCCGCGGAAACTGAGCTCTGAATCTTGAGCGTCTCAGCAAATATGTAGGTGTCAAGTTCGCGTGGATGTCAAACAACTAAAGCGGACAAACAAAAAGCCCCTGGGTTGATTTCAACGTGCACCCCAATACATACCACAAATGTGATTGATGGTGTTGTCGAACCACATCTCTATCCCAAGGCCCAGGAACTTTCCATGACCCGCTTTTCACCGCTCTTCGCTTGTGATCGATTTCGGGTTGGGAGAGTCAGTGTGGACCATGGTCTAAGGCCTAGAACCTGTCAGAGAAGCGGGGCTGGTAAGGTAAGAATACTCCAAGTCCGCAGCCCGAGATTCATATCCAACCGCGTGTGACTTCTAATTTCGGCAGGAAGAGGGCTCACGATGTCTCACGATCCCTCCCATAGGTTGCTCAAATCCGGTGCCTGCCATGTCCCAGGCAGTGGGTTTTGGACTCCCAACAGTCACCCAAGAGGGCAACTGGGGTGCGTGAGGCATTTGTGGCATCAGGGAGATTAAGGGAGGTTCAGATCTGTGTTGTGTAGATGACACAGTCACCCATGGACCTGGGTCGAAGGAAAACCCTGTGGTGGAAGGACCGTCGGTTCCGTAGATTTTCCTCTACACCATGTTGTGCGCTGCGGTTCCAATCTGCTCGAAGTGAAGTGAAGGTTTCAGCCCAGCCCTGCGAGGAGCCCCCCTCGGCCCCCCCCATGCGCGTCCGGCATGTTTTCCACCGATGGAGCCCAAAGTCTTGACGCGTAAGGCGTCTCCGACCGGACAAACGGGCGGCCCGCAGTCGAGATCGAAGCCTTATGGCTTGTGTGCCTTATGGCCAATCTCTTGAGCTTCGCTTCGGAGATGGTTTTCGAGGTCGTCTGTGGGAGACTCAGGAGCGACGCCTCAACTCGATCCATCTGGATCCACTGGCAGCGGCTACCCGAAAAAACTTCCTTCGTCAAAGGCAACGAATTCAGGCCCCGGGTCATTTCGCTGGTTCATTGATTTCCATATGGGTCAATCATCTCCCCCCAAGCCCTAGCAGGGTCATCCGGAGAGCCTTTGAGGGGCATTCTTTGTAGTCAGAAAGACTGCCAGACCGGCCGGCCGCAGCCAGCACTGCCACTTCCATTCAGCATGACAGCAGCTCGGCATGCAACATCATGCAACATCACACAATTCATAACCCTATAAGTGGGGGTGTGGGTCTTGACATCCTTATCATATCCAAACGACCTTCTGTTGATGCTTTGGAACCATCGCGGACATCAAAACTTCCGGTGAAACTGGCTAAACATGGTGTTAAACAGGTAGCAAAAACGGGTGTCAAATGATTGTTTCAAGACCGTTTCAAGGCCGGAACTGTCACTCCGAATTCTTCGACTGCAGACTCCGTCGGCGCGGACAAGACCTTGACTCCGTCTAGACCTTGACTAGGCTCAACATATGGCGGAGCGGAGGCATCCCACAAACACCAGCGAAACACATCACTGGACCCGGACCTCGTCGTACCAAACATTTGACACATGACCCGGTCAAAGGAATTCTAGCTCAAGAAGATCGAGAGAAACAGGTACGTAGAACCATTGAGAAACCGGTGACCATCTTGTACCATCTTGTGGACACGTGCGGTCCGTCAATTCCAGGTCGACTGGAGTCGCTTGCGGATTATGTGCGTCGGTCTGGGCTCGCTTGTTCCCGGCAGATCCAAAGTGCGCCGGTGACGGTTTTACAGGGCCGTGAACGGCGTGGTAGTTGGTAGTGCGCCGTGGCGGGTCCCTTGGTACAAGAGTTTCGGGTCACATCGAAAAATCCATCCGGCACAGATTGAAATCAACCTACGAGGGTTTCGGGTTGGGGAACTCCCATGGTCGCTGTGAGTGAGTTCCGGCTCCCCTGGTGACCTTAGGAAGAACTGGATACCTTAGCTCCCTCCTGAGCAACAGCTAGCCAAAGAGTTACCTAGTTGATTCGAAATCAGGTCGTTCATCAGCTTCTGGGTTTCCGTGAGTGGGGCCCGTTTGGAGCAGGTCGTCGTACAAGTACCTGGCATGTGGGTGTGTATTCAACTAGGAAGTCCTCCCAGGCCACGACCCCCAGGCGACGAAGGGGGATAGACCAGTCTACCTATGGGGCCACTGAGTCCCCCTATTACACGCCCTGGCAAGCCAACCAGGTCAGACCGCTTGAGTCATCAGCAGTTGGTCATTTGAGTCATCTGTCCTCCTTGAGTCATCTGTCCAAGTGCCCCTTTCAGAAACGCAGAACTCACTCACTCTTTCTGCATCAACTCTGAACCTTCAGCTCTTTTGGTCAGACGTTGGCAGCAAGAAGGCACAACACAAGTGGACGTTGTTCAGTGTGCACCCTTCCCATCAGTGTGGGGCCTCCGCCCAGGGAATTCTCTGTACATGACGACCGGGCGTTCCTGATGGAGCACACAGCTGAAGGAAGTGCTTGAGCTTCTGGATTCTTGGGTCAGTGGGTTCTTTTACTTGTACCCCTGGCAAGCCGAAGGATATGCCAATCAGGACGGCAGGTCGTCCGAACCTTCCTACCTTTCTCCGGGTGAAACCGCAATCCTTCGCAGACACGTCTCAAAACCGGAAAAAAACTGTGACGATTGAACATGTTTTAGCGCATGAAACATGCATTGATTGAATCAATGAGCATCAACTCATGAGGCCCCGACATCGACCAGCGGTGTGCTGCGCGGTGTCTGCTGGCTTTGTACACGAACAGCGCCGAACGCAAAGGACAAGCGAGTTAAATATGCCAGCATGGCTCAAAAGTCATCAGTGACTGTAAGAACAAAACAAATTGCGCATCCTTTTGCCACGACACTAGAGATGGTTTCACACAGGTATGTACATTGCTTTGGCTTGGGCTTTAGTGGGCTCAAATCACCTACATCACAGCCATGTCAGCTGCCTAGATCACTTGGCTCAGCTTTAACGGCCTGAATGGCGTCCACCAACCTCGCTCCGTGGCTTAGCCCTGGGTGGGCTGGGTAGTCCAGGTACTGTAACCTTGTGGATGGTCATGAAACTCACAAATTCTCTTTCTTTGGGGGGTTCTCTCTTCACTCGAACACTAAGTATAGTAGCATCCTAGTACCAAAATCTCTCACGAAGAAATGATCCAAGGACCAGCCTGTGCGCTTGATCTTCTCGAATTGATTGAAGGTTGTTTTGTCAGCCGAACATATCGAACATATGGAGACCTCTCAAAACATGTCAATTAAAAATAGGGAGACCATATGAAAACATGTCCTTAATGAAACTATAGCATGTGCATTAAAATAGAAACCCTGCCTCTCAAAGATCCCCTGGAAGGGAGCTTCGGTGTCTCCCGATTTTACGACATGGTCCAGACATGGTCTCATCGCTTGTTCAGACACATGGTCTCAGGCCTCACCCGGTCCTCCGGTACTCCACCGCGCTTTCTTTCAGCGCGGGGCGCCAGACTGGGTGACGAACAAGAAGAGACCTCCCCCGCTTTTGGGGCGTTTTGGAGGCCTCGAAGTCCTCCAGTTCTGTACTTCACTTCGACGATCTTCGATGTCTTGAGGCCCAAAAAAGACACAGCGAAACGAAGAGGGCGTTCCACAGCGTGCTTTGAGCCCCAATGGTTGGAACTGGAGCTGGTTTGAAGTGATCTTTTTAGAATACACACACACTCCCTGAGCGAAGTGGATGGGATTTTGAGGCCCAAGTTCGGATGACCATGAAATCCGAAGACGAAACAGGTGGTGAACCGCACCAACCCATGATGAGTATAAGAAAGTGTATGTGACCCTAGACTGAAAGCTGGACTGGACGGGGCATCCTACAGGGCAACTTCCTCAGGTTCGGTGAAACCTGGGGTGGGTGTACAAGCTAGAAGGTCTGTCTTCGGCTCAGGAAATCATTGGAGCCCAAAGGAATCGAAGTATCGAATCAATGGTTGCAGTTGTTTTAGAGTATAGATGGCACTGGCACCCCAAGATGTCTTGCAGATGGGGGTCCGTATACACCACCAAACTTGGACAGTTGTGCCATCTACTCTGAAACCACTGTATTATCTTGGACCTCATTCTGACTTGAAAGCTCCTTTCCTCCCTACGACCACTTTTTTGTCACCTTGCGCTCAACATCCGAGAGGCGCAGTGCACACGCGCTCCACGTCCTCTTGCTGCAGCTGGTTGGAGGAGGGTAGACCTGTTCGACAGCGAGCCCCTCCCGCGGAGCCCGAGGGCCATGTGGAAGGAATCACATATGTGGCCATCAGCCCTGGATCAGAAGAAAGAGAAAGTGGAACAGCTGAAGCTTTGTTCTGTCCTCCGATTTCATGATATATATATATATAGTTAGTATATCTGAAGAAATCCGCGCTGACATCTTAAAGCTGGACAGCAAAGCTTCCTCTGCTAACACTTTGTCTGAAACAATACAGCCATCATCAGCTATCTGCCAATTGGAAAGACACCAGCAAACACACGCACGCACACAGAAAAAAATAACATGGAAGTACAAACTTCGTACATAATAAAAAAGAATAAAGACTCTCCACCATCACTGCAGTGGAGTCACATACAAGGCGCTGATAGAGCAAGCGCGAGTTCTCGCCTCAGTCCGGGGTGAGGTCTCGCTCGGGGGTCACTGTGTCCGGTGGCGAAGTGTCCGGAGTGCGCTTGGTGGGGGAAGACCAATGCAACATCCATGAGCTTTGGAATGAGAGCTACATGGAATCCCTTGAAACACCGGGATTCCATCAATGTTTTCCAATTGTCCACCCGGATTTATCTTCATTTACGCACATTGAACCCTTTGCAAAACCTTCAATTAAGGTATGAACATACACCATAGATCGACCACCATTTCAAAATACGCCGTATTTCAACAGAACTCCCAATAAACGAAGGGAAACATTGACAAATCTTTGTGTGAGTGCCCTATGTCGCTTAGGAACAGTTGTGCTGACCCCATGCTTTCAATGATCCTTCATGATGATCATTCGCTCACATCATGTCAGGATCTAAACGTTTATTAGCACCCCAAATACCTGTGAGTATACGTCCGGAAAGCTACATCTAACAAAGAAAAAAGAGTTAACATCAACACAGAATCCATCAGAAACCCCTTTGCATCCTCTTGCATTGGCCCTATGTCGATGCGAAAGCCCCACGAACATCTATAAACACACAGAATTCCTCCTGAGAATTCCTCAAAATTCACAAAAAAACTCCCAATGCCCCAAAACTCCACTCCGCGCGGTCTTTTCCGTTTCGCCGAGACACATGGCTTCGACCTCAGACCAACCAGTTGCCGAGCAGGCGAACGAAAAAAAGCAGGGCTTGTGAGTCACGATGTGACCAGGCAACTCGGACAAAGACGTTAAGATGTGCTTCCTTCGAATGTGAAACACATCCAAAACACGGTCGAAACCGTGTTTGTCCAATTAAGAGGCTTTCCAGAAACGCGGAAGAAACACCAGCTGTTGCACAGGATTTTAGCCCTGTTCACATCTCTGAAAAGAGCCACTCTCCACTCCCTCGTGGGCCATCATAATATGGCTGTGGGTCCAAACCCGGAGCCATAAACCCTGGTAGGTTGCCCTCCCCAGTAATCAGTCTATTCTGTTCATGTTCTGTGGTCAACCAGAGTCCCTCGGTTGAAAGACCCTAGGTATCCCACGGTCATATCAATAAATGCCATCTATCTCTGGGTCCAACGACCACTCCCAAACACTGCGGGCGACACGGAAGCCCCGCACCAGGAGGATTGGAAAATTGCCATCATATCCAACGGGAAAAAGCCAGGCCTCGCCGCAAGACAGCGCCGTGAATCGACTCGAGTATCTTGTGATGTTCACACGAGCTACAGCCGAACCTAGTGGTTGTCTCCACACATTCAGGAGCAAGCACTTGCATCACATGCACCAACCCTACCCCTTCATTCATGTTGATCCACCCCACTGGTCAACCTCCAGGTCGTTAGGGGGAGCCTCACTCCGAGTCAGGAGATGTCCATATGTTGGTTTCCGGGAAGCTTGGATTTGCTGTCCAGGAAGTAGCAAAAAAAGGAAGAAATCAGAACAGCATCTTCCCCAGCAGGGGGAAAGATGAAGGAATCACCCAACCAGCAAAACCAGGCAACGTGCGTACTCTGGTCACTTGTGTTGCCATCAGGTGTCAATGGAGGTGTCGGTGTCCATGAGACCATCAAATAGTTCAAATGTTCTTTCAGGTATGTGCTATTGTTTTCTGATGCCTCCTCAAACTCATCGAACTGCAAGAGTTCTCAGTTGTCATGAATGGGTGCTCAAAGCCAACGAGTCAGTGGCCTCGCTTGAGGTCGGGTTTACAAAAACCACCATCTAAGCCGCACGTTCAAGTGTGGTTGCACACATGTTGACTGAACCTTCTGATTAGCTTGGCCCTGTTTCTTCTCCCCAAAAGCCAACATACGCCTGCAAAAGTGGTGGAACTGGAAGCTCAACCAGAATCTTCGTAGCGTTATGTGAAGGCAATGAACCACATGTGATGGCTCTTCCAAGTGCTGCAGATGCGTTGTTACAATGTAATTATGTGCATATATATATATATTATCTATTGGGGAAGTCTTTATCAACACATATCTAAACCAAAACACTTTCGTAGTAGAAAACAACACATCACCAGACCCATCCATTCACCAGCCAACCATGTTGTGAGTCTCCGCTCTTCCACCAGAAGAACATGTCAACCAACATCAATCGGCCTGATTTCAATGTCCGGATAGCTCTTCATTAGCTGCATTCCAACCTGCAGGGTGGCCGTGACAAGCAATCGCTAGCAACGTGGAACAAGCACCTGCAGTGCCCAAAGGGCTGGAAATACACCTAGACATGAATGAGATGGATTGAAACTGATTGAAATCCTCAGTGCACATGGCCATCTTGGCAATGCAGTAAACTAATTAAAACTGTAGTAGTAGTAGTAGTAGTAGTAGTAGTAGTAGGAGTAGGAGTCGCAGTCGCAGTCGCAGTCGCAGTCGCAGTTGCAGTAGCAGTAGCAGTAGCAGTAGCAGCAGTGGTATGCAGTGGTATGCAGTGGTGCTGATAGTGATCCGTGATCATGGTCGCTTCATCAAGTCGCACGCACACAGCGCCTGCTCCCCGGAAAGGCCCTCGGGCAACAAGGCCGCATTGATCCACCAAACGCTATCATCACCTGTCATCAGTTTGGAATCCATTGTAAATTAATGGATTTAACTGATAAGTTGAGGCGGTGGAGGTTTGGAGGACGTCCGAAGTCGATCAAGTAAGGATGAGCAGCTTCGGGTGGAGAACCAGCCATTCCTCGATTGCTAGGGCTATCTTGGGGGTTGGTTGATGTTGTGTCGTCTTATTTTGACACATACGGGTGTCAAAGCGTCTCTGTCTGTCACAGGGTTGATGGAGGACAGGTATCCCCAGTCCCGGCAACATCAGCTCATGGTCACGGTAGAAGGGTCATTACGTTTCTACATGCTGAAGGTGGTTGCTGGCGATGAGCTTTTGCATCTTTGATGATCTTTTGGTTTCAATGTTCCTGATGTTGAACCCCGAGCTTTGGATGGTTTGGACCCCGAGGTTTGTCAGCTAACTCGCTTTCTGTTGTAGACCGATGAGCACGAATTTGGAAGGTCATGGCACCCAGAGCTCCAAACAAGGGTAGGTTGACCTTGACCTCCCAGGTAGTCTATTCTGTTCATTCTTGGTCAACCAGGGCGTTCTGGTTTTGACCCACAGCCATTTGGCCCCATTTGGCCTTATAGGATTGCTGATCACTGCTGTGTGAATCCAAACAGGTTGATTGAATGCTTTGTTTCACAAACTTATTTCCCACCATGTTCAAAAATCAACTACGAATTAACCAAGCCCCCTCAACAAAAGAATCCACGCAGAACACAATGGGAGAACCACTACTAGTAGTTAGTAGTTAAGCTCACAGGAAGGACATCTTGGGCCTGCAAGTTGGGTCCAAATCCTTGAAGCTAGGTCCAAGATTCACCGGTATGATTTGTTCATCATTTGGTCTCGGCCAGGAGCTGTAGGTAAATGAAATCATTTGTTCATCAGGTCTTGGCCAATCCACCCATTCCATCCCATCCCACCTGGTGCGGCTTGTTGCAGCCGAACGCCTCCGGCACTGAATGCATCCGAACGCACGGACGTCGCCCGGTTGGAACAAAAATCCCAGAGATCCACCGGGATCAGACCCTTACAGGTCACGAACTGACCTCATGTCTACTGAATGAGAACAAATACACGTCTACTGACCTCATGTCTACTGTCACGAACTGATAAAGAGGCCACACGTCTCAATGAGAAAAAAGGACCTCACGTTGATCAAAAGGCCGCTGTTTTTGGAGAAGACTTGTTGGAGATACTGAGATACTGGGATCACCCTATCCAAACGAAGGGCCATTCAGGAAACTCGTATTTCCAAGGTCCTCCTCAGAACTGCTTTTGAAACTGCAGCAGTTGGCATCCAGATCATCCACACAAATGGCATCCCAGTGCACACTCCCTGTAACCAACATGGGACTGGAACATGGCGTCTCAAAAGATGATACTTTCCATGAGACTTTCTTCGCGAATTTCCGTATCGGTGAGTCCACAAAACAACAGAACTTAAACATCAAATTCCAGAAATATATATAGCTGTATAATGCATTATAATGCTGTATATAAATATATAGAAACATGCTCACACACAACTCGAATGCCCTGTGCACCTTTTAGCTCAGGCCGCGCAGCCATGCCTTTCTCGTACCTCAGAGATCCACCCGACCGCCCGGCGTATCCAAAGAGCATGGATGAGCTCGAGCCATCAAAAGTTTCATGGGTTCCCAGACACGACCTGTCTGGAACCGGCATATATAATCATACAGTATATATGAAAATTCCATGCACCAAGGCAACCTTGCTTTGCATGTGTTTGATGTTGGGTGGATCTCGGCTCCCAGGGGCCCCTTGTGCCGCATTAGACGGCTATGCAGTGGTGAGAAGTAAAAGGTTGCAGGTGAGGACTTGCAGGGTTCTTTCAGTGACACTTTCAGTGTTTGGTAGGTTCATTTAGTTGTTCCACGTGATCACAGATCATACGCATTGAACCTAGCTACCAGCTTCGCATGGTAGCGGAGCCGGACCCGCAACGGGCCGGCTGCCGTGATAGCGCCCGCGCTGTTTGGTGAGGCCGACCGGCCTTGGGATCATCGATCCATTGACCCATTCTGGTCAGACCTATTGTGGTCAGCTGTATCACTGAATTTACACCACCTGCATTTGCCGTTTAGGTGACACATTGTTGCAATTCAGCTGTGATGGATGGCAAGGGAGACACATTCAAGGACCTGCAGTTTGATGGACGTCCAAGTGGATACAGAGACTTCTGACGGAAGACTCTTCTGGCCATAGCAGGGGTCGAGGACAAGAACCTTCACCTGATAGGTCCTCGCCTTCTTTCCCGCCTGCAAGGTGAGGCATTCCGAGCAACAGAACATTTGGCCATTGGACGACTGAGAACTCAAGGTGGTTGGCTTGATGTCATAGAAGCGCTAGACCGACATTATCGCTGGCTTCCTGAACAGGAATTGCACGAGGCAGTCGAGTCCTTCCTTTTCCAGTTGAAAAGAAGACCCCATGAGGGAGCTACATCCTTCGCAGCCAGGTTCAAAACCCAGCTGAATCGTGTGCAGACCTTGATCGCGCAAGAGCGTGAGCTGACGAGACGCAAGAGAAAGAAGCGAAGTGGATCGCCAGTCGAGCGAGGGTCATCCAGCAGTCTTGAGGAGACAGATCCTGAGGCAGCAGGCTTTGAGACACCACCTCATGAGCAATATGGGTCTCCTCCAGCAGATGGTTCAAGACGGTCATCAACGACCTCAGGAGTTCAAGGAAGACAAGAGTCGCCTCAGACTGCCGAAGAAGGTCATGAGCGACCAGCAGAACCGTCGAGGGCTGCAGAAAGGCCGCAGGCCAGTCCACCTCGCTCTCAAGCACCTTCGCAGGCCTCCGAGAAGAGCAAGAAGTCCAAAACCTCTCGGGGCACCTTTGCTGGAGATCATGCCAAGGATCGTCAAAAGATGATGGAGATGCTAGGCACTCTTGAGCAAGGGTATTTGCGTCCAAAGCCGATTTTCCCAGAATCCATTTTGGGGCATTTGTTCATGCGTAAGTATGGAATGAATAGGGAGCAAAGGGCCCAGATCATCAGAGCCACAAATGGTAGTAGTCGGTTCAAAGACATTGAACGTTTGGTAAGAGCATCCGACATAGAGGAACATAGGTATGACGACCCCCGGGGAACGAAACACAGACGAGAAACATATGCCGTGAGCACATCGCCACAACAGCAGCAACAGCAAGTGCTCGCCGTGCATCAAGACGACGACTCATCCAGTATCGTTGACCTTGATGCGGATAGTTCCAGCTCAGACGAGCAGATTCTTGCAGCTGAAGAAGTTGATGATACCGACAACGAGGAGTTGCATGAGATCTTAGAGCTGAAACAAAAGGCAAAAGAGAAGTTCCGCAAGTCGTACAAAAACTACAAGGAGACCAAGAAGAAGGTCAAAGAAATCAAGAAAAGTCGTCAACCATACTACCCAGTGGTGGCCTTGAATCAGCCGGAATCTGGAAATGCCACAGGTTCAACTCAAGTGCCTCTCCAGAGACAGCCCTTCAAGCACGACAAGAAGTCCCCAGCGAAGAACTTTTCAAAGAAGAGGGATTCAGGGAAGCCGGTGCCCAAGCGTGAAGAAGCGAATTTGACTGAAGCTGTGACCGTGAATTTGGCTTTTTCCTCCATGGTGGAGTCCCGTCATGAGGAACTGGAAGTGCTTCTTGCCAGCATCCCACAGGGTCATGGAATCATGGATTCAGGATGTACAACCTCCGTTGTTGGAGAACAAGCTGCCTCCGATTTAGCATCCTACCTGATCCGGTGTGGACTGCCAGGACCAGAGAAGTGCGACCTACCACCAGTAGAGCTTCGTGGATTCCGAGGCGAGTCAACGTCGACATCTTCAGGACTGAAAAGGACAGTGAAGATCGGCAACCAAGTTGGAACCTTGGCAACATATGTCATACCAGGCGCAACACCGTTTCTGATCTCGAGACCAGTGCTTGAAGCTATGGGTGCCAAGCTGGACTTTGAGAAAAGAACATTGACAGCCGTGAAACATGATCTTCATGATGTACCACTCAGACAAGCTTCGAATGGTCACTTCCTCCTTCCACTCTGTACACCACCACCGGACATTGCGATACAGCAAGATTGCGGTGTCACAGAGAGGTTGGAGCAGATTAGATCATCCTCAACCGAAATTGCTTCGGTTGAGGCTGAAGAAACCAATGAGCCCAATCTACACCAACGTTGTTCATCTCATGCCGAGTCTTCTTGTGAAGCATCCTGCAGTAGGCCGGGTGTCAAGGTTGCAGTTGAGCCGTCCTATGAAAGATCAAAGAATCCTAGAGGCTCCGATTTTGGAACGTTTCGAGAACCGAAGGTAACTTCATCAGATAAGAAGAGGGCCATGCAACATATTCTCAAGAACACAAAGCGTGGGATAGTTGATATCGAATTGTATCAGAAAGAACTGCATAAGATTTTTGGAGATAATGGGAAACCCTTTCTTCATGTTTTTGCAGCTTATCGACCTCGCCTTGAACGTATTCCCAAGGAAGCCCAAACAATGACATTCGATCGTGCAGTCGCTACTCTAAATGAGACAGGAGATTTGCATGTGACACCATGGGATGTCCGAATTGCAGGTGCCATGCGACGACCCGTCAGGCAAGTGAGCACCGCCTTGTTTGCGTTTCAAGCCGAGTCGAATTGCGCAACACTCCCAACTGAGTCTGCCGAGCAAGTAGATGCAAAACCACCTGAGCATACATGTTATTGCTGCAATGATTGTGATTTGGAGGGCGTTAGCCAACAGCCTTTTGGAACCTATTCCGAACTCGAAACCTTGTATGAAGAAGCCGATTGGCTAGAGGTTCAGTCAAAAGAGGTTCCACCTGAGGCAACTGCCAGTCTCCAAAAGAATATACGACCTCTTCGTAAGATAAATGCCCAGATGATTTTGTCTCGACTTGCAGCAGAACCCGAGCAAGTGCGATCCGAATTGCAAGCCTGGCTTGGACCACAGTCCGCCAAGCTGGGTCCCCAAGTAGAACTCATTGAGGTTTTTACTAGAAAGGCACCTCTGTCTCATCACTTTGAACAGATTGTGAAATCAGAACGCCAGACAAGCATTCGTTTAGGATGGGACTATGGACAAGACTTTGACAAAGTGTATGACCGGAGAATGTTGATGTACCTTGTTGCCTGGTGTAATCCTTCCAACGTGTGGTACTCATTCCCCTGTTCACCGTGGGGACCCTGGTCACGATTTAACATGAAGAGAAGTCCGGAAATTAAGAAAGCCATCCTGGAAGAACGTAGGGTAGCCCGTAGGCATTTGCATGCTGTTTCAGAATCGTGGGCCTTACAGGTATTGCTTGGAGGATCGTGCCATGCGGAAAACCCGCTTTCGTCTGAAGCTTGGCGTGAATTGCATCTTGGCGAAGTGTTTGATGTTAGGGTTGACCAGTGTGCATTGGGATTAAGGTGCCCCAAAACTAATTTACCCGTGTTGAAGCCCACCAGAATAGTGACAACAAATGCCGCTCTTGCTGAAGGGTTGATGTCCTACAGATGTGACGGCAAACACCAACATGCACATTTGGAGGGTAAGTTCCGGGGTAAGAATTTGTCCAAGCACGCTGAGACATATCCTTCAAAATTCTGCCGAGTTGTCTCCAAATTGCTTGCCAAGTGCATTCGAGACAAGGATGCAACTGCAGTGCAAGATGTCCTCGAAGAAGTCTTTGCCGAAGAACTAGATGCAGATAGTAATATGGGATATGCCGACAGTGAAGCCGAAGACATCTCGTCCGACAGCTCTGGAGAGCAGAATGCAGATTTAGATCAACGTCTGACAGCCGAGAAAGCCAGAGCCATAGTTCGTAAACTACACGTTAACACTGGACATTCATCCCCTCAACAAATGATGCGACTGGCCAATAGGTGCCGTTCTTCAGAGAAAATAAAGAAAGCCATTGCTCAATTCCAGTGTTCAGTGTGTAATGAACTGAAGCCTCCGCCAAGTCACAGGAAAACGACCATTCCACATGCCGAAACGCCAAACCACATTGTAGGAGTTGACTTTGTCCAAGTAGAGCTCAAAAGAGACGGAACAGATGGAAAAACATCTGAGATAAAGTTCAATGTTCTGACATGTGTTTGCATCGCAACAGATTTTTGTCAACAGATTATTGTACCACCAGGAAAGGGTCAGATGACAAAATGTTTCCACGAGGTTTGGGCCAGGCCATATGGAGTCCCAAAGATCATATACATGGATCCAGATGGTATTTCACTTTCCAAAGACTTTCAAGAATACCTCGCCCATAATACATTCAGATGTTGCATTGCGCAGCCGAGTCTCACTGGCAGCTCGGACGTGTTGAGACTGCCAACCGAGTGTTGCGGGGAATGGCCCAACGTGCATGGAAAACAACATCTAGACCACCAGAAGAAATAATCGAAACTTGTTCGTCAGTAAGAAATGAATTGCTGCGAAAGAGTGGCTATTCACCTGCACAGTGGTTTCTTGGTCAAGACCCGAAGCACGCAGGCTGGTTAGCCGATGTCGATGAACAGCGTAATTTTGCAGCAGCTTCCCAAATCCTGTCAGATCAGACCTTTCAGGAGCGCATGAGATT